CTCCCAACTCTCCCTCCTCCCCGCAGGCAGGCAGGCCAGCGTGTGTTATTTTATTTGTCTAGAGAGAGCCTATTTGTTCAGTGATGTGTGGCCTCCTGGCCGCCAGCTTTAATGGGGGACGGAGAGGCTTGGTTTCTGTGAGCATTAGCATACAGCTGCCCGCGCCTGCCGTTCCTGGGCTCACTTTATCCCAGCCTTATCATCACCTCTTCTCTCAACCAGAAAACAATCAACAGCTCCGCACACAGGCGACTCCAGCCCCTCGCTCACCCGGTGCGATTGTGTTCCTGTTTCTCTCTCTCTCTCTCTCTCTCTCTCCTCTCATTCTCTCCCTCCCTCCCTCTTCTAAGCATAAATATTGATTGGCTGGCTTTACATTTTATTCCCCATGCAGTTTCTCTTTCCTCTGTCACCTCGTCTTATATTTTTCTTTTGCCTTCCTGTGATATTTGGGTGAAATATGAGGAGCCATTTGGGGAAAGGAGGTGGCTACACTCGATTGCAAACCAACATAAGCCACGAGATCATTAGAGGCATCTGGGAGGCATGGTTGTTGCATGCGATTTGGGGAAAACTTGGGAAAATGAACTTTGGTATTTTCCCATCAGAATTCTTTGTTCAAAACCATAGGATTCCAAAATCAGGCTTTGAATCCAAGATGTCCCCAGCTCAACAGCAAGTACTGAAACACACAGGAACTTCATGAATGTAGTGTCCCCACAGAAGCTATGCCTGTGCATGCCGAGAGAAGTCCCAATATCGGTCTCTTTGAAGCCCTTTCTTTTGCGAGTCTTCACCGTTAGTAAGGAATAAATATCTTCATTCTCCCAAAGCCCTTAAGACCACCAGTTTCAATCTGGGATCAACCACTCTTGGGTACTTCTCTTATTCTTAGAAAAGTTGTTCCTCAGTGATAAAATGCTCCTCTTCACATGTATACTAAAATCTGTGCCTAGATTCCCAAAATGACCTCACTTACTGACCATGAGATGGTGGTTAGAGTAACCTCCTCTGATACACTTTGCACACTGAAAGGTAATCTAGGCATTTTCAAATTTGCCATCATGATACTTATGGAGGTCCAAGACTGCTTTTTTAAAAAGCAGCAAAGGAAAGCATTACATGTATGTATGATTCAATATTAAAACTGGCATTGCCATTTGGGGTTCCTTTAATGTGACTAGCTTTTTGATGGTAGTACTTGGTCACAGAAATCATAACTGTTGATACTCTGAGGTTGTTCTGTTAATCTCCACCCAAGGGTCATAGACACTCACTATTTGCTGATGAATGGGCCTCTCAGGGGAAGGGAGTGGGAGGAGGATGGTTTCTTGAGCTGACTCATTCACAGGCCCTTGAAATAGGGTCTTTGGTTGTTGGGATGGCAGTTTGAAGAGTAAACCAGTAGCAGTTGTTCTCTGTTCAAGTTACACAGTTTACCATGTGGCCGGGGCTGAGTAAAACAGACACGTGAGGGAATTCGCGGAGGTTATTGCTTACTTTTGCCTTAGAAAAATCAGTGTCTAGTGTGCTAGAACGACGCTATTTTTGAGAAGTATTGATTCGATGATAACGGATGTGGAAATCTGTAATGCCAACTACGACTTCCCGTCTAATAGCTGTGTTATCCTTGTAATTGTGCCAACTTTTGCTAAACATTAACATGAATGCAAAAAGTGAACACAAACTGGAATTATGTCCATGGAAACCAATTTTAAGCCCCTGCTGGTCAAAATTCAGTCACAAATAGTGTCACAGTAACACCTAAAAGAGATCCAAAGAAATGAAAACAGTCTTATGTGTTGTTTCTAAATCCACATGTTTTCTAGTAGGCATTTAATTTGCTTTATTTGTAAGAAGGTCTCTTACCCACATTATAGGTGACATGTACCAGGCCCCCAATGCAAAGCAACAAGGCTAAGGGCTTAAGGAAGTCAACTAGAGTAATTTCTGACGACCATTTTCTATTCTAACACCCACGTATGAAATAAAAAAATAAGAAAAATAAAATCTGTACGTGTGTTATATTCTAGTTTTTCACTGCATTCATGCCCATGACCTGCAACATGAAATAGAAATACAGGGTCTGTGATGGCAGCCTCCTCATTCCAAAAGTTGCTTTACATTTTCCTACCCAATCAGTCCCTCTGATGTTGAATTACAGAGTTAATTTCTCATCATCAGTTTCACGAATGTTCCATGTGGGCACACGATTTTCCTTTTTATTGCCTAGGATTATTCCTGGGTAAACGTGAATAACAAAATTGGCGGCAGAACGTTTCAGGAAATGAAAGTCATACCCAAGGTAAAAACACGTTTTACACAGTCTGATCTTATTTTATTGCTAAAACAGATTCTTCTGTATGGACATGTCTGGTATTAGCAGAGCAGCTCCCTGGCCCAGGATAGAGGCGCACAGCCGTGCGCCACCTACTGGGACGACAGAAAATGACATGCGTAAGTGCATGCGGGGGAAGACAGAACAAAAACCAGGAGACAATGGTGCTTGGCTGTCAAGCCAGGCTTCAGAGAGGCTTCCTACTTATACAGAGCGCTTCTAGGAACTACAGGTGTGGGAACAATAAAGTGGAGACCGTGGCCACACTAAATGATGCCTGGCCACGCGTACATGGGCAGGTGGTAGTGGTTATAGTGCAGGTAGTCAAGGATGCTCCTCTCCACCAGCGTCTTGTAGATGCTTTCCTCGTAAACTCTTCTGAGGTATGTCCTGGGCTTCTCAGTCAGGTCAATGTCCTCATCTACTAACTGACGGGCTAACTCTTCTATGGAGGGAAGTTCTTCCTCCTGGAAAACACAGTGAGAGGCCAGATACAGAAATTACATGCATGTGAGCCCCATGACAAGAGCAGTTGCATGAACATGAAGAACAGAGCGCTCAGTTCCCCAAGGATGGTCATTGTTTCCTAGCTTTTAAAAAATATTTTCGATTGTGGCCAAATATACATGACAAAATTGACCACTTTACCCATTTTTAAATGTATATTTCAGTGGCATTCAGGACATTCATGTTGTTATGCAACCATCTCCAGAATCTTTTTATCTTCCCAAACTGAAACTCTGTCCCCACTAAACACTAAGTCCCCATCCCCCCTCCTCCCAATTCCTGGGAACCACCATCCTACTTTCTGACTCAATGATTTTGACTACTCCAGGGACCTCATAAAAGTGGAATTATATAGTATTTGTCTTTTTGTGATTAATTTACTTCATTTCGCATTACATCCTCAAGGTTCACCAAGCATGGTAATTTTAAGCTCTTGATTTGCAGATAAAAATGATCTGTAATCATGCTTATTTTAAAGGGAGTGATTAAATGTGTTTTTTTTAAAATTAGATTTTTATTGATTTCAGAGAGAGGAAGGGAGAGGGAGAGAGAGATTGAAATATCAATAATGAGAGAGAATCATTGATTGGCTGCCTCCTGCATGGACCCTACTGGGGATGGAGCCCGAGCCTGCAACCCAGGCATGTGTCCTTGACTGGAATTGAACCCCGGACCCTTCAGTCTGCAGGCTGGCATTCTATCCATTGAGCCAAACAGGCTAGGGCTGATTAAATGTTTTTACATGAAAACTCCTAGATGGTTTGCTTCATCTGGTTAGATCCTTAAGAAATAGGATTTTTAAACCTTAGAATACATTCTTAGTAAAGCCAAATTTCATTGATATCTCTGGAGATAGAACTCCGGGAGAACAAAGTTATGTGAAGTTGAGAATTATATGCTGTGCATCTCCCTAATATCGTAGAGATTTCTCCCCAACATTTAATTCCAAAAATATTCAAACACGCAGCAAGTTGACAGAATTGTACCTGGATTCTATGGCCAACTTTGCACTATATTTGCTTCATCTGCCCATGTATCTATTTATAGGAGGATTGTTATAAAAAGCACGTCACCAAGGTTTGAGCTGCATGCTTTCTGAACACCACAATAATTGAAAATTACCTTAAAGGAAGAGTCACGTGGACTTGGATGCTATATTTATTTGAACTTCTAATAATTCTTTTTATTTTGAACAAAATAGTGGATAACTTGCAGAGTTCTACTGCATCATTAATTTATTAATAGTAAGAACTTATAGATAAAAATATATTCCAATTATAGGGAGGCATAGGGAAATTGTCACTTGTTTTTTTTAAGTGAGATGCTACTAAATATTAGAGATGCCGAATCACTGGATTGCCCCCAGCAGCCCCCAAGCTTATATGCTGCAATATATATGAGCCTTGTTTCTTCTCCCTTAATTTTTCAGGAGAATTATATCAGGCAAAATCAATCAACTTACAATTATTTTTATTCCCACAATAATTATTGAAGACTTTGGGCTCTTATATAACACTGCTCTGATATTTGGGTAAATAGTGTAAAGTCACAAAATAGAACTTTTAAATTTACCTAAGACAAACAGTGCTCTCTAGATTGTAAACAGGGTTTTTTGTGCTTTTTACTTGCTTCTTACTGGTACAGTGTGATCTCTTAGTGTGACCACCTTCCCTCTCAAGGTGACCATCTCCCCTCTCAGGGTGCTCACCTATGGCCAACCCACTTCCCAATGCCACATGAAACACATGATCCTTTGTGTCTGGGTCTTTCATTTAACATAGTGTTTTGATGTTCATCCACTTTGTAGACTATCTCAGGACTTCATTTCTTTTTATGGCAGAATAATATTACATTCTGTGGATATACCACATTGTTTATCCATTGATCCGTTGGTGGCATTTAGGCTGTTTATTCTGAATAGTGCTGCGATGAACATTCATGTACGAGTGTTCATTTGGATTTCTAAATTCTTTGGATGTACATACCTAGGAGTGCAATGACTAGGTCATATAATAATTCCATGTGTAAGTTTTTGAGGAACCATCAAACCATTTTCCACAGCAACTGCACAATTTTATATTCCCATCAGCAATGTGTGAGGGTTCCAATTTTTCTGTATTCTTGCTAATACTTGTTATATTATTACTTTTTTGTAGAGCCAGCCTAGTGGGTGTAACATGACATTTCATTGTGGTTCTGCTCTGAATTTTCCTAATGATTGATCATGTTAACATCTTTACATGTAAATGACTTTACTTCTGGACTCTCAATTTTATTTCATTGATCTGTCTACCTACCTTTATATAAGTACCACCCCTGTCTTGGATACTGTTGATTTGTAGTAAGTTTTGAAATTTCATAGAGTACTAGAGGCCCGGTGCATGAAATTTGTGCACTGGGAGTGGGGGGTCCCTCAGCCTGGCCTGCACCCTCTTGCAGTCCGGGACCCCTTGGGGGATGTCCACCTGCCGGCTTAGGCCTGATCCCCCTGGACTATGAGAGGGATGCCAGCACTCAGACATCCCTCTCATAGTCCATAGTCCGGGGCTCTCACAGTCTGGGACCCCTCGCTCCTTACTGCCCGCCTGCAGCGGAGGCGGTGGGAGAGGCTCCCACCACCGCCGCTGCACTCACCAGCTGTGAGCCAGGCTCACTGCTCCTTAGCGCTGCTGCTGCGGAGGCAGGAGAGGCTCTTTCCACCGCTGCTGTGCTCGCCAGCCAGCCAGCCAGCCTTGAGCCCAGCTTCTGGCTAAGTGGTGCTCTCACAGGGGGAGCGCACTGACCACCAGGAAGCAGCTCCTGCGTCGAGCGTCTGCCCCCTGGTGGTCAGTGCATGTCATAGAGACCAGTTGTTCCAGCCGTTGTTCCACCATTTGATCGATTTGCATATTAGGGTTGTATTATATAAGATGTCCTTTGATTTTTATTTTTTTTTAACAGCCAAAATTGTTTTGGCTGCTTGGAGTCCCTTGCATTTCCATGTAAGGGTTGGCTTTTCCTTCTACAAAATATATCATTGGGATTTTGACAGGATTGCATTGAAGTGGTGGGTTGTTTTGGATAGTATTGCCATCTTAACAATATTAAGTCTTCAAATCCATGAACACAGACGTGTTTCCATTTCTTTCGTTTCTTTCAGAAATGCTTTGTTTTCAGTGTGCAAGTCTTGCACCTTCTTGGTTACATTTATTCCCAAGTATTTTATTTTTTTAATTTTTTAAAATCTTTTTATTGATTTCAGAGAGGAAGTGAGAGGGAGAGAGAGACAGAAACATCACTGATGAGAGAATCATTGATTGGCTGCCTCCTGCATGCCCCACACAGGGGATCCAGCCCGCAATCCAGGCATGTGCCCTTGATCGGAACCGAACCTGGGACCCTTCAGTCCGCAGGCCAGCGTTCTATCCACTGAGCCAAACCAGCTAGGGCAGTATTTTATTATTTTGATGCTATCATAAATTGAACTGTTTTCTCAGTTTCATTTTTGGATTATTCATTGTTAATGCAGACCACTGATTATTGTATGATCTTGTATCCTATAACTTTGCAGAATTTATTTGTTAGCTCTAATGTTATTTTGTGCATTTTATAGGATTTTCTATATAAAAGATCATGTCATTGGAGAAGAGAGATAGTTTTCCTTCTTCCTTTCCAATGTGGAAGCCTTTTTTCTTTTCTTTTTCCTGCCTAATTGCTCTGGTTAGAACTTCCAGTACAATGTTAAATGTGATGAAAGCAGGCATCCTTGTCTTGTTCCAAATCACAGAGGTGAAGCACTCACTCTTTCAACATCATTGTATGAATGCTTTACTAGGTTGGGACAGTTCCCTTCTACTGTTTTGTTTTTTTCAAACCGCTTTTACCATGGAAGCATGTTTGATTTAGCCAAATGCTTTTTCTGCATCTATTGAGGTGGTAGCATTTGCCCCCTTCATTCTATTAATGTAGTGTATTACATTGACTAATTTTTATATGTTGAACCACTCTTCCATTTTTGGGGGTAAACCTCACTTGGCTATGGTTTTATGCTGCTGGATTTAGTTTGCTAGCTATCAGTTGAAGATTTTTGAATTTTAACACATAGGGAATATTGTTCTGTGGTTTTCTTTTCTTTTGACATCTTTGTCTGGTTTTGGTGTTAATTCTTTAAATGTGAAGTCATCTGGTCCTAGGCTTTTCTTTGCTGGGAGGTTTCTGATTACTGATTCAATACTTTCACTTTTTATAGATCTGTTGAGATTTTCTATTTCTTCTTGAGTCAGTTTTTGTAGTTTATGTGTTTCTAGGAATTTGTCTATTTCATCTAGGTTATTTAATTGATTGGCATACAGTTGTTCATAGTATTCTCTTATAATCCTTTTACTTCTGCAAAGTCAGTAGCAATGTCTTTCATTTCTTTTAGTAATATATCCTTTTTCTTAGTTTGGTTCAAGATTTGTCAATTTTGTTGATTTTTTCAAAGAACCAACTTTTGTTTTCATCAATTTTCTCTGTCATTTAAAAAATTTTCTATTTCACTTATCTCCACTAAAATTTTTATTATTTCTTTCCTCTGCTGGGATTGGGTTTTGTTTGGTTTTCTTTTTCTAGTTTTTTAAGATATAAAATTAGGTTATTGACTTGGAAACTTTCTTTTTGAAAAATTATTGAGTGATTGATTGATTTTAGAGAAAGAGAAAGAGAGAGAAACATTGTTTTGTTGTTCCACCTATCTATGTATTCATTGGTCAATTCTTATATGTACCCTGATCAGGGCTTGAACCTGCAACCTTGGCATGTTGGGATGATGCTCTAACCAACTGAGCTACCTGGCCAGGGCAAGATCTTCCTCCCTTCCTTCCTTCCTTCCTTCCTTCCTTCCTTCCTTCCTTCCTTTCTTTCTAAATGTAGGTATTTATAGCTATGAATTTTCTTCTGAAAGCTTCTTTTTGCTGCATCCCATAAATTTTGGTGTGTTGTGTTTTCATTTTCATTAGTCTCTACGTGTTTCTAATATCCCATTAGATTCCTTCTTTGAAATAAAAGAAGTTGCTTAATATGTTGTTTAATTTCCACAAATTTGTGTATTTTTGTTTTCTTTATGTTTTTGATTCCTAGTTTCATTTCATTGTGGTTAGAGAATATACTTTGTATGATTTAAATCTTTAAAATTTATTGACAGTCATTCTGTAGTCTAACATATGGCCTATCCTGGAGAATGATCCGTGTGTACTTAAGAAGAATGTGCATCTTGCTATTGTTGGGTAGAGTGTTCTATATATATGTGTTAAGACTAGTTCTTTTATAGTGCTGTTCAAGTCCTCTATTTCCTTATTGATCTTCTGATTATTCTATGCATTATTAAAAGTGAGATAGTGAAGTTTCCAACTATTATTTTAGAACAATCTCTTCCTCCAATTCTGTCAACTTTTGCTTCACATATCTTGGGGTTCTGTTGTTAGGTATATGTATGTTTATAATTGTTATATAGTTCTTAATGAATTTTGAAGGGTAATTTTTACTCCACATCTCACTCTGGTCAATGATTCTTTGGCTTCAGTCGCAGCTAACTGCAGTGCCAATGGATTTCCTCTCTATGTCCACAGAAGGATTTGAGATGTCTTATACTGGGCTTCTTTTTAAAATAAAGGACATATAGATTTGAGGTGACTTGTAACAGTCATAGATAATAGTCTTTTATTTCTTTCTCCACATGTGGAGAAAGAGGACAATGGATATGCTAAGCTCTGGGATATCATAGTTAATGGGACTGAAGTTCTGAATTTCCCTGAGGAAAAGGCAGAAACTGAGATGGAATAGGTTACAGCAACTCAATATTAGAGGAAAGGAATTACTGTTATTCTTTGGGGATGGCTTTACTCTCTATTTCCCTAATATCAGACTCTTAAATGAAATTCCTGCATGTGTGCATGTGACTGGCATTTCTGTTGTCAGCCTGTCTCTACCATAACCGTCACCACCACTGCTACCTGTGGTGGTCGGCACTTACTGACAGCCTTCTTCTGCGCCAAGTTCTTGCACATATCACATCCCCTCCTTTACCCCTTATACTCTCTATTTCCCTAATATCAGACTCTTAAATGAGTGCATGTGTGCATGTGACTGGCATTTCCGTTGTCAGCCTGTCTCTACCATAACCGTCACCACCACTGCTACCTGTGGTGGTCGGCACTTACTGACAGCCTTCTTCTGTGTCAAGTTCTTGCACACATCACATCCCCTCCTTTACCCCTTCCTCAGCTCTCCGAGGTGGAACAGCTAGTCCCTGTCCCCCAGGGATCTGAGCTGGAGGCAGAGACCACTGCATGCACCACCTCTTCCTGTGGCCTTTTCCATTTGACAAATACAAATGTGGAAAACAGAACAGTCCCCAGTGGAGGCTTTTCTTTCAGAAGTTTCACTTTCTGGAAATCTAAAAACCCACAAGAATGGTTGGGGAGCCTTTAGTGTGTCTTCCCCAAATGCCCATGGCCACTTCTGACCTCCTGCAAGGGCCCGCTGCCCACGCTGTTCGTTTATAGTAAACTGACCCACAGCAAACGTCTGTTCATTGGTACAGGCTGACGGTCCTCAGTGAGCGCCACAAAAAGCAGATCACTGGGTTTGACAGTTTACTTAGAAAGATGAAGGAAAAGCTTCCCTTTTAAGCTTGACACCTAAAGTCCTTGGCCCTATGCAAAACGTTCACAGAGAGGCTCAGAGCTGGGGTCTAGAGCAGGGGTGGGCAAACTTTTTGACTCGAGGACCACAATGGGTTCTTAAACTGGACCGGAGGGCTGGAACAAAAGCATGGATGGAGTGTTTGTGTGAACTAATATAAATTCAAAGTAAACATCATTACATAAAAGGGTACGGTCTTTTTTTTTTTTTTTAGTTTTATTCATTTCAAACGGGCCGGATCCGGCCTGCGGGCCGTAGTTTGCCCACGGCTGGTCTAGAGGAATGTGGCACGGAGGTTTGATGGGTAAGTAATAAAGGAATGGATGTTTCCTATGGGGCAGCAGTGAGCTGCAGATTACATTTTGAGAGGCAGTGGGAATCTGAGGCATCAAAGGGAGGGCAGTCGGCACCAGTCTTACCACCCAGTAGATATAACTCATCTCCAGTTTTCAGCCAACACTGTCAGCTGATGATGAAAATACAATTATTTGTGAAAAGGAAAAAGAAATTTGCCCCTCATAAAAGGATTTAAATAATCCATGTTCCCTGAATATCACCATCATGTTTACATACACTGTAGTTTCTTTACATGAAGTACAGGTAGTTTTAAAAGTAAAACCATAAAGTGGGAATGTAGGGAAAAGTCTAAATGATCAACAATGCAAATGGTTTATAATTTGCAAGGAACAACCCACATAGTCATTAATCACTCTTACCTTCTTGGAGGTTAAGATTTGGCGTAACTCTTTCCTGAGATCAATAAAACGATCGTGAAAGAGGGCCATGCACCAGGGCTCCGTGAAGTAGCTAGTGAGGGAAGAGAAGATTCAGTTAGCTGGAAACCCTCTCATTACCACTAATAAAGTATTTACCTGCTTTTTTGCCTTTGCAAATTACAGTCCTGGCCCCACTGCAATCGTTTGCTCATAAAATGCCCCGTGGAACAGCCTGGCCAATCAATTTTTTAAATGGATGTTCCTGATGTAGGGCCAGGTTCCATAATTACATTCAAAGTGGTTTAATTCAGGGCTGGGGCAAGACCCAGTGAAGAATCCTGATTTTATCAGAATTTAAAAGCCTGAAGACTTGTAAAGAACGGTGTCTCCATTATCTGCCCTCATTTGAGAAAAACAGATTGCAGGATTAACTGAACTGCTGCATAAACAAATTAAATTTGGGGAGACAATAACACAAACGTTGCTCATCATTAAGGTTTCTGGATTAATAATGACCAGAAAAACAGGCCACCTCGGTGTTGCAACACGGTCCTCGTACAATTGCCCTGATGCTTAATTGAATCTCTTTCAGGAGAGCAGCTCTCTTCGTGTTTGTATTTGCTAACTTTTCACAGAAAACTGCTTGGATACATGCTTTCTTTCATGGGAACAATATGGCTCTCCTTTATTTACGGATGGCTGAAAATCTGATGCATTCTTGGAATAACCAACAACATTTGTTGGTGTTCTAAACTCTTAACTTTATTTGAATGCTCAGTGTCTTGGAACAGGAAACTTCACTGCTTCAGGGTTAGAGACACATCGATTATGCGGGCTTCACTCTTACTGGATGTCTGTCATCTCTGTTACTGTTAATAGATGTTATATAGGTGCACAGGGGAAGAAAAAAAAAACTGGTGCCCACACGCAGATGGGCACCTTCTGTTTTCCGAGGCTTAGAGTTAATTCTCGGGGAAGCAGCTAATGAGTCCCAGGGCCTACTGAGGTATTAAAAGACAAATCTAATGACAAAAGTCTGTGCTATGAGCAGCATGGATTTAGCTCTATCAGTTATTACCTATCATCCACTCACTTGACCAGAACATGACCCAATTTCATGCTTAATTACCTACTTGGTTGTTCAGATCATATGTTCCTCCAACTATTAAGTTTACTAATATTTACTCCTTCCCCATTCTGTGCTCAGAACTGATCTGGGTACTGGGGAAACAGCAGGGACCAAAACAGACAAACACTCTATATTCGAGCCACAAATAGGTAAATATATAAAATGTTAGAGAATGAGAACTGCTTAGGAGAAAGCATACGTCCAGAAAGGACAGGAGGAGGCCAAAGAAAGGCTACGTCACCTAAGGCGGTGACTGAGTGAGCAAGCACCTGAGGGGAGCGAGAGCGCAAGCCTGGTGGAGATTGCAGGGAAAAGGCTTTGGAGAGAGGGAACAGCAGGTGCAAATGGTGAGCAGAGGCAAGGCTGTGCCCAGACCATGTAGGGAGGTGGGATGGATATAAACAAAGAGGGGGGGGGGTAGGAGATAAGCTCAGGAAGGTGATGGGTGGGAAGGGTGCTCCTAGAGGCAGGGGTATAGTCAGAGCTGTTGTGTAATCGCTCCATAGCCATCTAGCTCAGCATTTGCTGCAACAGGCATCCTATATTTGTTCATGAAATGAATGAATAATGAATGAACACACATTGCACTGTATATCTTCTATATGCCTGGCCTTGATTGGCCTTTCATTGATACAGAATAAAATTGTGCCAAATAAATAGGTGACAAAACTCTGCAAAATACCCCAAATATGAAGAATGGAAGAAACTCAATGGGAACAGCAGGAAAGCTGTGTGTGAATCCAGGGTTTAACGATGGTCTTTCTGAGCCCCGCAGCACGCAAAGGTGTGTCCGGGTGTCAGGAGGGCACCCAGTGGAAATCAGTCGGGGACTGCTCACCTCTGGAGATACTTGACGCCACTGACCTTTGAATGAAAGCAGTCCAATCGATGGGAGTCCTAGCTACAAGGTTCTGGGCCCCTACAAACCCTGGCCAATGTCCAACACCTAATTCTTGGAGTAAAGACTGGGACAGGGCTGGCTGCCCAGGAGGCATCAGCTCCGTGGGGCGATGTTTTGACGCGTCTTAGACGGTAGCTTCTTAACCAACACGTCAATGATAACTGAAGTCCAGACACTTAAGCACAGCGTTTCCAGTGTGGCCCCTGCCTCTTAGGTCTAAACAACTTTTAGCGAAGCCTGAGGGAACTGTGGATGTGCCTGTATTGAAACTATCATAATCCCTAAGTTAGAAACCAAAGGGCCCTTTAAACTTGTTGCTCTCTTTCCTCAATTACTGAGACTCCCAACCCCCACCCCGTGTGGTTCCGTGCACTGTCAGGAGTTCCCGCCGCCCCTTGTTTTGGTGGCCACAGCCACATCCTTCTCGGCAGCATATGCTCTGCCTCAGCTTTCCTTGCCCAGCCCGGCTCTGCTGCCACAACCAGGTGCTGTTCAAGCAGTCTTTCTGCCTATCGCCTTCAGAACTCTCATCTCTTCATTGTCTTCTCCAAAGGGTTAGTTCTGCGGAAAACCCACTTCCCTCAGGTGTGGGGAGCTGCTACAGTGTTTGGACAGGTTCAAGCCTTGGACTGATGAGAGGGCACAGTCCTCTCATTACCAACGTGCAAGTCCCAGCTTGGAGGGCAGGGCCCTCCCAGCACAACTATAGCCAACAGCTGTAGTTGTGAGCTTGAACCTATGGTCTGAACACGTGTCCCCACGTGCCTGAGTGATGTGGGCTTGATAGAATTCAGGTGCATGTAGTTGAGTAAGGATTGAAACCCACGAGAATGTTGTAAACATCTTGGTCACGCCCTTACTTTGCCTCGTGGCATCTGCTATAAAATAAAGACATGGCATGTGGACATCGTTGCTGTCTCTCAGAGAAGCAGCGTCCCACCAAGACCCAGCTTTCATTCTCTTGTCTGTCTTTTCTAAGCCTCTCAGCCGCCCCACTCAGGTTCACCCTTGGCCGTGCTGGCGCGGCACACTCAGGTTCACGCTGCTGCCCACCTTGGGCTCTGGCCCACCATCTAGTGCCCACATTTGCACAGCCTCTGTTCACAAAGCCAAACACACAAGGCCAGAGAAGTAAGTGGCCCTTGATCCTCTGTCTGCCCAGAGCTTGGGGGAAAGGGGTGATGAGGAAGCTGGATGCATTGCCAATTCTTCCTTTTGCTGGCTTTGCAACTCTCCATGGCTTCTCGCACCAGCATCCAGAAGAGACAACACCTTGGACTTGGCAACCCCTGTTCACATCACAGAATGTTGAGCGGCTTACACAGGGGCCTAGCAGACCTGAAATTGTGTTTCTCTCACACTCCCCACCCCTGCCTCCCGAGGTAAAACAGGTTGGTATCCCCATCCAGAAGGTCACAATTTGTGTAGCCAACTGCTACCCATTTTCCTGGAAATCACCAGTGGCAGCCATTTTTATATAAAATAAAAAGGTTTTATAGAATTCTACTTGGATTTCACTTTTTTTGTCTTTCAAGAAAGAAGTCTTGGGTTCCATTAAAACAGGGTGTGATAATGAAGTAATACCCTTGAAACCAAACCAACAAGTGGGCTTCTGAAGGCTCCTGTTAGATTTTATTGCAGTTTCAGTGGTGGTCCCCAGAGACATTATCCACAGGGCCGTGAAATGATAGCGCTCCCACAGCTGGGAGAGCGGGCACAGGTTCCCAGCCCACCTGGAGGGCAGCTTCTGCACATCTGTCTGCAGCATCAGACATCCCAGACTGCCCGCGGACCAAGTTAAACCTGGACAAAGTGAAGCAGCTGCTAATTTGTAGGGTGGTTGTTAGATGTAAAGTGTTGTGGGTACAGGTGAAAGGGAATCTTCTGATTAAGAAAAAAAAATGGTACCAAAAACCTACCTAGTGAAGAATCTCACTTGCAAGGTCCTTCTCCAGGTCTTACAGAAACTGCTTTTCTGGTAGTAATTTTTTTAAAAAAATGTTTTTATTGATTTCAGAGAGGAAGGGAGAGGGAGAGAGAGAGAAACATTAAAGATGAGAGAGAATCACTGAGTGTCTGTCTCCTGCATGCCCCCTACTGGGGATGGAGCCCGAAACTTGAGCATGTGCCGTGACCAGGAATAGAACCAGTAACCTCCTGGTTCTTAGGTTGATGCTCAACCTCTGAGCCACACCGGCTGGATTTTGGGAGCCGTGTTTAAAGGGCTCACAGGATGACCTCGGGGGTCGCTGTGATGAGGATGCCTTTCCAGGCTGTGGACCACAGTCATTGACCACTCACAGCCCCCAAGTAGCCTGGCTTCTGTCCATGATTCACTTTTATGCTCCCTGAGACCTGGTTTGCTTCTGGAAAATTAACTTAAAAAAAAATAACCAATTTTTCTTTTCAGAGCAGCACAGAGTTCCCGCACACTCCCCCTTTCCCTCAGTTTCCTAACACCCGCATTAGTGTGGCACGTTTTTATAATTCATGAACCAATATCGACACATTGTTCTTAGCTGGTGTTCATTTCTTGGGTTGCACATTCTGTGGGTTTGACAAATGCAACGTTAAAAATCCCCTGTGCCTCCCGCCCTCCGGACTCCTGGAAAATTAACATTTTAGGAAATGGACTTTTATTAGAGAAAACGTAGCTGTGTAACAATTCTATAAAATACTTCAATAACCCTATTTCTCTTAGAAATAGAGTAGTATTCTCCCTCTCCCTCCCCCCCGCCCCACACACAAAATAACACCCCACTATGCCTCTCAAACTTGCCGGCAGCCCCCAAGACCAACAGCCATGTGACTTGAGGCTTTGGTGTCCTGAGGTGCTGGATTTGGGGGTCAGTTTAGGATGAAAGCGATTTGACTCTGTTTTCTATAATGTTCAGGGGGACATGACAATTGCAGGCATTACAATTTACTTGCTAAAAATGCGTGTGCTGTAGTTACTAAACCAAACACATGGGTGGGGCTGGGGTGAGGCTTGGTCACTGGGAATTTCAGAACCAGGTCCGCTCTGGACAAGGAGGAAGCTGGCAAACGCTGATCAGAGGAG